GACAAGGACCGACGGTGACGACGGCGGTTGACTTCGATGGCAGCGCGCGTGAAGAGCGGGAAGCGCCGAGCAAAGGAGCCTAAGGACCGAGGAGGGGCAGGGAGCCGAGGAGCCGAGGCTCAGACTTCCGCCGACGGGCTGATTCCCTCGGTCCTCTGGCCCCAGACGTCCTCGACCCCCTCCCCCAGGGGGCAGTGCTCCGCCCCAGATCACTCCCAGGATGGCCCCGGGGGCCCCGGGAGGGCCCCAGGCGGGAACCGGCGGGACCGAGACAGCCCACGCGCCCAAAGTCCAGCGGGGAGCGGCCAGCAAGGCCGGCTGCCGGCAGGACCGGGCAGGGCAGGGCCGGGGCCAGACCCCCGACGTCGAGAGTTTCTCGTTCGAGGGCGACGATAGGGGCGAATTGCGCAGCGGAGTACAATGCGTGTATCCAGGGGCACCGATGGTCCATGTCTCGGGCGAAGCTCCCTGGGCGAATAAGTGCAATGCCCGCCCCGTTTGGCTGTTCGCCCCCATCGTCGCCTCCGACTCGCACCGTGGACGCCCAGAGGCCCAGACCCTGTAAGGTCCGGTATGGGCCCCGGAGAGCGAACACAGCGAAAGAAAGGCAGTCCGTCTCGATTTGCCCTGAGATCCGACGACGCGGAGAACAAAACGCATCGTGCAAAATTCACGGCGGGCGCCCCGGGGCCCCGCCGTTCTGCCGCAGTGGTCGATCCCGATCGACCTGTGGGGGCCCTGCAGGCCCGACGCTGTGCGAAATCGCCGGGCCCGAAGACGACATGCGATGCCACGGGCTCTCAGGGCTCTTCAAGGCGCGAGGGCCCCCGGCGCGGCGTGCCCGCCCGCGCGCGCGTTTCCGCGCCTCGCGCGCGAGGCGTGCAGAGGCCGAGCCGCAGGGAGCGCAGGAGGCTGCGGGAGGCCGGGGGCGCCGCGGCTGCGGCCGAGGAGCGCTGCGGCGCGGCGCGGGCCGGGGGTCAGTACAGTCGAGCCGGGGTGCAAGATCGAGGTCGGTTCGGGGAGGGTTCCCCAATGTTCGCCGTGTCGGTTGGATGTTCTCGTGTGCGCTGTGCGGCGGAGGGTCTGGTGTTCTTGAACGACGTTCCTCTGGCCTGGGTCCAGCCGTCTCGTTCAACTCTCAGGCCTCCCAGACGATGGGGTCGGAGGGTTCCGCCGCATCGCCAAGGCATCGGCGAAGATGCGCGATGTGGATCTCGTTGTTCTTCACGCCGACGTCGCCGATGCATCGCCGACCCCATCTACCTAGGTATCGTTTAACCGATCCCCGCCCCCACTGGGCCGTGGTATTTGAGCCCCACCACTCAGCCCCCCAGTTGAGGATAGGCCACGCGAAAACCAACGGGAACAGCATAGATCCCCGTCGAGAGGGGAACATCGGCCAGTGCGGCCAAGGCCACGCCAGTGGGGATAGGGATCGGTCAAACGATGCTCCTGGGAGGCGGTCGAGATGAGCGGGGAGGAGTCCAGGCTCGGCGACCACAAGCTCAGACATCCACCGTCTTGACAAAACTCAGGGCAAGGGTGTTTCGCCGTTTTCGCCCTCCGTGGGCCCTCGCTGGGCTCCAGGATCGTCAACAACGACTCAGGATGACAAGCCAGGGCTGCCACATCGAGACATCGGATGTCAGGGATCCCTGGCCGATCTCCGGCGATGTGATTATTATGTCCAGAGTTTTTTGTGTTATATATATATATATATATATATAAATTCTGATTTCGGCCCTGGGGGGGGCGGCTGGGCATCGGACGTGGATATGGGGCGAAAAACTGGCCCTGGGACGGGGTCCGGACCTCTGGGGCCGCGCATGGAAGAAGTCAGCTCGTCGGATCTCTGGTGTCTGGTGGTCCCGTGAGGCACTCGGGGTTGTCCCAGAGCGGGGGGAAAACTGACGGTCTTGGAGGTTTATTCTCTCTTCGGGATGTTCTCCAGCAGCTGCGCCTTGTCGAGAGCTTCCCAGGGGTGCCCGGATCGTCTCGATCGGCCGTCGAAGGCCGAATTTCTGACCTGACAACCACCAGGCTTCGGGTCGGGTCGGGGCGGGCGGGTCCGAAGTCTGGCGGTCGAGTCGGGCCGGGCTCGGGCCAAGCTCGGCCGATCGAGTTGGGTCGAGCGTGCCCTGAATCAGGCGGTCTGCTGCGCTGGAACGAATGGGTGTGGTCGCGCCGGGGTGTGGCTGTCTGTCGGCACCACGCCGCGCCAGAGGCTTGAGGAGCCCTCATCAGTGCGCGGCGGAGAACTCTGTCCGTGTCCTCGCCCGCGCCCCTCCTCCTCCTCCTCCTCCTCCTCCTCCTCCTCCTGCCTCCTCCTCCCTCCTCCTCCTCCTCCTCTCTCCTCCTCCCCCTCCTCTCCTCCTCCTCCTCCCCCCTCCTCTCCTCCTCCTCTCTCCTCCTCCTCCTCCTCCTCCTCCTCCTCCTCCTTCTCCTCCTCCTCCTCCTCCTCCTCCTCCTCCGCACCCTTCGCAAACAAACCACACCCTCCGGAGTCGCCAGCAGGTCCTGTTTGTCATTCGGGGGCGTCCAGGAGGGGGGTGAGGACTGATGATGTTCGTGTGTGGGTATCATGAGTTGGGCCACGAGGTCGTCCAGATTCCACGCCACCTTCCTCTTCTTTCGATGCGTTCCTTGGCCCCCCTCCCTTCGTCCGCGCACGCTCCTTGGGCCATGATGCGCAACCCCCCTGCCTTGCCCGCCCCCTTCCCCTTCGGCGCCCCCGATCCAGGTCCCCAGGCAATACAGTGCCGTTTTTAATACATGCTCCGCTTGCGGATCATGTATTAAACAATGCAGGGATTTAGTGTTGAAAACAACGATGAGTTCATGCATAAATTTATTCATGAATTAATCGTATATTAAAAATCCGAGATCTATTTTAAAAATCCCATGCATTGAAAACTGCCCTGTACTGCACGGGCTGGGCAGCAGGTGCGAGGGCCGCTGCAGCAACGCACTCTGAGCAGAGCACCGTCCGGAGTCGGCCCGCGCAGCGCACGGAGCAGGCAGTCCCGATCGTGGCGTCGCGTTCTTCCTGCCAGGGCAGAGGCCACAATTCAGGAGGGAAAGAAACACACAGACACAATGAATCGTCGACTCCCAGGAAAATATAGGAAATATGGGAAGTGGGGGGGAAGACGAAAACCTTGAAAATATTGGAAAATATGGGGAATCCGGTTATTTGTGTGTATTTATTAGTGTTTCCCAGGGCCCCTTCAACAATCACATCTTGCTTCAATCCAGCATGGGTGCAAGCATATATTTGTGATCGAAGCCTGGCCGAACGGGTTTGGCAGTCTTGCTCTTTCGTAATGGCTCTCCCGCTCCAGCGCTTGCGTAGTTGCCTCGGTACGCCCGGTTTGAAACGCAACACGTCCCCTGTTCAAGACGTCCATGTCAATTGGCTCCACGTCTTGGACCACGTTTTGGCGAGTGTATCGCGTCGGACCTACGCTTTCAGCCTACGCGTTGAGCTCCGCATCAACTTGCGATACGTGTTGCGTGTTGCGTTTCGGGGCAGGTAAGCTCCAGCGTCGTCAGAGTCGGCGCTTCGCTCCGGTCGTTCATTGAGGCCCTCGCGCCCCCGCGCGGGCCGCACTTCTGCATCCGAGTGCTGCCTCGTCGTCGTCGCCCCCTTCCTTCCCCCTCCCCTGGCCTCCCCTGGCTTCCCCTGGCTCCCCCTTGTCCTCCTGCTCCTCCAGTTCCTTCGGCTGCTGCTGCAATTTCTCCTGGTCCCCCTCATTCGTGATTGTCCTCCTCCTCCTCCTGGTCAGCCTCCCGCTCATCGGCCACGGTCTCCTCCAATGTACAAAGCTCCCTTTTCCAGATTGCGCACAACACGATCATATCCTTGTTTGTGATCCAGGTCCGCTATGACACCCGTTGGCGGATCGAAAAACAATCAGCGCAGCGGGAAGGGATGGGTGAGAGGGGTACGATTCCTTTTGGCTCCCTCTATCTACCTCTTCCCTTGCTCTCTCTCTCTCTCTCTTTCTGTCTCGTTTTTTTTTTTCTCTCTCTCTCTCTCTCTCTCTCTTTTTTTTTTTTTTTTTTTTTTTTTTTCTCTCTCTCTCTCTCTCTCTCTCTTTAAATACATATATATATATATATCCCTCTCTCTCACTCTTTATCCCTTCCCTCTCCTCAAACAGTATACGAATACGGCTACCCCGTCTCCACCGACTACGTCCTGCAAGTGTCCCGCTATATCTGCCTATTGTCTTACACACGGGAATTCCAAAATGGATTGGACGTTGGGGAGTGAGATCGCAGTGGAATGGAGACCCCCCCTCCGGGAAGTCGGTTTCGGTTGCGTGTCCGTGTCGCGCGTGCGTGCGAGGCGAAGCTGCGTTCCCGCGCGCTGGGGCGCTTCGGATTCGATCCCCCCGTCGCTGGGGCGATTCGGATTCGACCGTCCGGCCCTTCGGTGGGCGCGCGGTGGCTCGGGGTGTTCCGCCGTGGTGGCCCCCGTTGTCCCGAGGGCGCCCCGCGGAGCGCCGCTGGGGTGTCCCGATTGTGCCTCGTGGTGTCCCGTGGTGTCCCGCGGTGTCCCGCGGTGTCCCGCCGTGGTGCCCCGATGGTGGCCCGATCGATACTTGCGATACTGAGATCGAGGGTGAGGCCGTAAACGACGAAGAGATTGTGAGATCGACAGTGAAGTCGATAGTGACATCACATCGCGGCGCACCATCGTCATCACTCGTCGTCGCCAACAAGAGGGCGTGCTACCAGCATCGTCAGTATCACACCCATCACAGTTGCAACGGTTCTGTCCCCTCACCCCAACCTCCCTCACCCGAAGGGTGGTCGTGTAGGTATTATGTTCAAGTCCCTCAGTCGGAGCGCTGTCTGTGCTTCAAGACTAGTCTGTCACTGCAGCGTCGGCCTCATTTCAAATTCCGCGCTGTGCCCCCGTCGTTTGGAATGGCGCTCTCGCCCCAGCGCGGGCCACGCTTCTGACTCTCAGTGTGTCTTCGTCGTTGTCGCCCCTCCCTTCCCCCTGCCTCGCCTTGTCATGGTCCTCCTGTTCCTCCCGTTCTTCCGGCTCCTGCTCTTGCAGTTCCTCCATGTCCTCCTCCTTTTGGCGTCCTCCTCATCTTCCTTCTACTCATCGTTTCCTAACCATTTCGTCTCTAGCATGTGTGGCACATGGAAATGGAATGTCATGCAGTGCTTCAGCGGGGTAGGCCCCAGCCTTTCCCATCACACGTCCCACTTCTCTCTAGGCACTACACATCCTAAGCCCAGCGCCCGCAAATGCTGCCGTGCTGGTCTCCATATTCTGCACGCGTGCGTGCTGCTGTTCGTCATCTCCCAGTGGCTGCAGTACACCATCGCTCCGTTCATTTACGCTTGTCCATCTGAGCCCTCGTCACGGACACGTCTCGCTGGATCAAACTCTTTTCCAGTCGGTGGCGTGAAGCTCTCCCATACGCACGAACAGCCGACGACATGGATTCCGAAGGCAGCCGCAGCAGTAGAAGTGACGACAATCGACGACAGTGTAAAGCAGAGGATTCCAGCTAATCGAAGAGTCGCAGTGGTGATGAGCAGCGTCCCGTTGCAACCGCAGAGGCCGACAGCGAGATAGGCGCTATGATGCCCGTGGCCGTGATAGACCCCGTGAACGTCGACCAGATTCGCACGAACGAAGCAATCCACTTCAACTCCTCGGACTTGAACGCGGCGCGAGACGCCCAGCTGGACCCTCCTCTGGCAGAGCTGGCCCCCTTGAGAAGAGAGCCTTGACGTGACGGAGCTGCTCGTCGTCCCTTTGAGCATGTTGGTGCAGGTGGTGGGCCCCATGTCGTTTTCATTGTCAGCGGTGGCTTGTTTCCCCCACGTGCAGCTCAAGAGTTGGAAGTTGCAGCTACATCCCCTTCGCAACAGCCTCAAGATGCTCATTCGACGCACGTTGGCATTGCTACCGGTGTGTAAGGCAGGCCTGCTCCGGAGCCTCCTGGTCTTGCTGGCCGTCCTGTTGGCCTCGAGAGGCGGCTGCCGACTCTTAGGCCATAGCAATTTGCGGCAGCGACGCCGCAGCTCACGAAAACGGCGAATAACTTTACTCGGCAGCAGCAAGTGGCCTTCACCGCACAGACCCAATAGTTTCTTCAGTACAGCAGGCAGATCACGAACCATCTCGAGCAGCATGACCGCAGTATTCACGACCTCCGAAAACGAAGCCATACAGTAAAAGCTGCTCAACAAAATATGCGTGCCCACATTGCGTTAACGGAAGCGACCATATCAATCGCAGAATCAGCATCACTTTTCGATATTCAGCGCATGGCGAAAACGGACTGGTCACCAGTGCTTACAATGGTCAGCATTGGAGCCCCATGAGGTGATTGCACCACGAGAGGTACGGGCTGCTTTTGACGCGTAGAGTTTTTCAGCAGGTGATCTTGCTGAGCCCATCCAGCCCCTCGGCAACATGCCCCAGCGCAGGCTGTATTTGCCTCCAAATCTCAAGAGGCCCGTCCTCGGTTTCAAGGGCACTTCGTTTTTTGTTTGGTTGGCTCCTGTACACTCAAGGCCGTGGACATTTTTAAAACACATGCGTCCATCTTCGTCAGTGCAGACAAGAGCCCTGGGCCAAAACGAATCGAGCTCCGCGCCATTCAAGTTCAAATATCCAGAGATACCATTACCATTGGCACCGCCCCGGCTCCCGGTGCTTGAAGTTCAAGGGGCGGCAGAACCGTATCATCTTCGTTGGGGCGGAGCAGTACTTGCGAGAGTTCAAGCGGAAATGGACAGGATCCTTGTGGTGAAGGCGTTCGGCAAAGCACTCGCGAACGTTAACGCACCCACGTGGTCGATCTAGCTGCCTACGGCGAGTCCCGCCACCGTGCCTGGGCTGTGGTTGATCTGCAGAGAGGATGTTCGTTGGGATCTCGTGGGGGGCCTCTCGGGGGCCTCCTGGAGGGAGTTTTGCGGTCTCTCGGGGGCTGTCTTGGGGCCCTTCGGGGGCCTCTTGGAGGCTTCTCGGTCTCGGAGCCTTTCGGGGGCCTCGTGGGGGCCGTCTCCGGACTCGAGGAGGCTGTCTTGCGCGGGGCAGCCGAAAAGGCGAGAACGCCAACATTCTGCAAACAAGCAAATGGAAAGCAATGATGTTAACCTTTGGGGGGCCCTCTTGGGAGACCTCTTGAGGCCTCGCGGGGCGCCTGGGAAGCTTCTTGCGCCATGTTGGGGCCATCTTGGGCGTCTTCGGGTGGTCGTTCGGCGACCCGCGGGGCCCTCGAGGACCGCCCCGGGGGCCTCCCGGAAGCCTTGGAGAGCGCCAGGGTGGCGCCGCGGGCCGCCCGGCGGGGGCCCCCGGGAGCGCGCCCGGCGGGGGCCCCGGGAGCGCGGCCGGCGCGCGCAGCTGGGCGCTTCCCAGGAAACCCGCCAGCCAGCGCCGCGCCTCAGCGCGCCAGTGGGCACGGTTCCGGAGGGGAAGAACACACATGCACAATGAATCGTCGATTCCCAGGAACACATATGGGAAGATAAGGGAAGTGGGGGGGAAGACAGAAACCCAGAAGACATGGAGAAAGATGGGGAACCCGGTTATTTGTGGATTTTTTCGTGTGTCCCAGGGACCCGGTAGCTGCGGCGGATCGAACAGAAGGCGGCCGTCGTGGGCAGCGGCGCCGGGCAAGTGCGTCGCAATCGTCAGCTGGAACGCAAGGGGCCCCCTCTGCCATAGACCTTTCCCGCGCAAAGCCAAGCTCGACAGGAAGAAGCAGCTCTTCTGATTCAAGAGTGTCGCGTGGGCCAGGCCATGCTCGAGGCGGCGGTCGCTACCTAGCCGCAACCGCACAAGGTCTTCTCAGACATCCTCTCGCACAGTTCTGACGGCGTTGCCTTCCTCGTTCCCCGGGAGCGACGATGACGTGATCAATCAGACGCATTCTTCTTCCTTGTGGGCATTCCCCCGTCGCGCCCTGTTCCACGCGATGTGCGACCAGACAGACGCATCGCAACTGCCGACCTCGACGCACGCAATTTTGACATTGACGTCGGTAGCCCAAGGTTGACCCGGACTCGCCGGGAAAGCGCGGGGCGTTGGATTCCCGAGGGGCCCCCGCGCAGGTTTCTGTGCAGCTGGCGACTTGACCTTCGCGATAACTATCTCAGGAGCCCGTTTCTTTATTGCTTGGGGCATGACGGGCGTCATGGCCCCCGCTCCCCGCTCCCCCCCAAGTGCGCTCCGGGCACTGTCGCCGTGCGTTTTGGGATCCGCGCAGGTGTCCGCGTAGGAATCCGCATAGGAGTCTGGTCCGCACTCGTCGTCGTCGTCGTCGTCGTCGTCGTCGCTCGTGGCTTGTCGCTCGTCGCTCATAGTCGTCGTGCGCGCGGACACGGTTGAAGCCTGTTTTTTATTCCGGGCCGATGACGGCAATCATCTAGGGGGGGGGGTCGATGTCGTCACGTTTCGCGCCGCCGGCGTTTGGGAATGCCTAAGAATGACGGACGACGGGTAGCGCCAGCATATAGGTGAAGATTTGCACCACAACCCTTGTGTACACCACAGTACCTGCGTGCACCACAACGCTTGTGTGCACCACGCCGCCGATGTACACCACAGCAGCCGCGTGCAACACAGCGTCCGTTTATGCCACCGTGCCTGCGGGCACAACAGCTTTTGTGCACACCACAGCGCTTGCGTACACCACATCAGCCGTGCGCAGCAGCACCAGTGTACACCACAATGCCTGCTCGCATTGCAGTGCCTGTGTGCACCACGGCGCCTGTGTGCACAATAGCAACCGTGTGCAACACAGCACCACTGTTGTATATAGAATGTCCGAACGAATCCTTATGACAAAATGGAACGCTTGTGGCTTCCACAGGAAACAGTAACAAATAATCTTCATGGTCAACGGAGCGCCACTGTAATCTACGAGTCCTCCCGAGTCCGCCCGCGTCACCCTAACTCCTCCCATCTGCGTCCACGAGGCTCCAAGTAAATTGGCCGTCCGAGAACCAAGTGGACCGATTCAATGGAACATTTTGCGGTGCGCGCTGAGATGCGCACGTGCGCTGTAGCGCCAACCCGCACGACAGGGGGTAAGGAGGAGGAGGAGGAAAAGGAGGAGGAAGAGGAGGAGGTGGTGGAGGCGGAGGAAGAGGGCGGAGGGAGGACGTCGCATTCGATTATCAGCACTTTCCTGACGTGGCGTTCAGTTGTCCGCAGCAGATCCTCACGTACATGTTCCTTCTACCTGTCCTATTCACGCAGGCATTGTGGTGTACACCAGCGTTGCGTTGCACGCGGATGTTGTGGTGTAGGCACACGCTGTGGCGTACACAGGCGCTGCGGTGCACGCGAGCACTGTGGTGTACACAGGCGCTGTGTTGCACATGGTAGCTGCGGTGTACGCATGTGCGACGGCGCTGTAGTGTACGAAAGCAACGTTTTGTACACAGGCGTTGCGTTGCAAACGGTTGTTGCGGTGTACGCAGGCACTGTGGTATACACGCGCGCTGTGGTGCACGCGAGCGTTGTGGCGTACACAGGCGCAGTGGGGCATATCGCCACCTACATGCTGCTCGCGTCGTCGTCGTCGTCGCTCGTCGCTCGTCGCTCGTCGCGTCGCGCGCGCGGGCGCGGCTGCGGCGCCGGAACCACACGGCGGGGGGGGGGGCGTTAGATCATACCGCCCCCTCGCCCCCCCCCCCATGACGCCTGTCTTCGCCGAGCATGAAGGAACGCGCTTCAGGGCTGCGTCGACCCTCGCAGCGAAGAGCCCGCCCTGCAGCTTCAAGCTGGCGCGCGCGGGCGCCCCCCCCCCGAGAGATATTCGGGGCGCCCCTTCGCGCCCGCCGCGGAGATTTCGGCGCGCTGCGCGGCGCCCGATGGCAGATGCGTGGTCGGCCTCGCCCTTGGGCCGTGGGCCGTGCGCGCGCCGGCTTTTCCGCGCCACTTTTTTTTTGTTTTCTTGTTCACGGTGATTGACTGCGGCGCAGTTGGGATTTCTGTCCAGGGCCTGAGCGGCCGAGCTTCGCTTGCGTCCGAGCTCGGGGTGGCAGGGCCCGCCCTGAAGGGCCGAATTCCGAGGCCCGAAAACCATCACTTCACCAATTTTGGGCCCCAGGGCCCACTGAGGCCCCAGGGGCCCCAGATTAGTGAAGTGATGTTTTTTCATCCACGTAAGGGCCCCGAAATTCATCACTTCATTAAACCGAGCCCAGGACGAAAGTCAGGGGCCGAATTGCTGCTGTGATGCAACATCGGTCTCTTACGACTGCCGTTCCTGAACCAGTCGTCCCGGGTCCTCATTCCAGAGAAGTCCTTCCATAGTTGTTTCGGGCGGTTCAGCCCGTTGGTTCCCAGAAGTTCACCAGTGGAGACGGCCTGGAGATTCGGCGATGGAGGTGCCCAGGCGCGCGTGGCGCGAGATTAGGCGACCGCCGAAAACGACTGAGGACCCAATGGTTGCATGTGAAGGGTCATCGCATTTCGCGCGATCTCGCGTTGCGCGCGGAGACGCGATGTCGACGCGGCGGAGAAGCGCATCGCCCCGACGGACGACGACGCCGAGCATCTGCAGATCATGGACGGGGAGGTAATTTCGTTCGACAGGGAATTCTTTGCCAGCCCGTCGCGCGCCCTGGACTTCGGGCGCTTGCGCCGCGGGGCCGCTGAAGACTTCGCGAGGGCCAGCCATGTCCGTGGATGCGCGGGCGATGCACGTGCGGCGATGCCTCGCGCGAGGGATCTCGCGCGCGTCGCGTCTGTCGCTTCGGACACTGAGCGGTTTGCGCCGATCAAGCTTCGAACGCCCACGCGTGCAAGCTCGCCGCCTCGGGCTGAGAAGACAGAGCGGGTCGCCCAGACAGTTCGATGATTTCCGTGGATGGCCCCCTCTCTGTTTAGATCTGTATTCGCTGGCCGCGCCGCCGGCCCAGGGGTTGAAAAGGGCCCCGTGAGCCACTGCGGCCGCCATCTATAGGGCCCTGCGGCGGAGGAATGGCGGCCCCGCGCTGCGCCATTCCCCCTTCGTCCCCGCGTAGTTCCACGGCGGCGCGCGCTCTTCCCCACCCTGCTCACTTCTGCCCCCCCCTGCCATGATTCGTAAGCTCGAGCGCCGGGCGTTGCGCGAGCTCTTGAGACCCCCGCCGAACAGCTCCAGCCCCGCTGACATGTTCGCTCTGCCCAGCTCCTGCAAGCTGGCGCCCGCCCCCACTGAAACTACTGTCTCGTGCGAGCAGCTGGCGCACATATCCCAAGATCATCGTGCATGCGTGGCAGCAGACTCATCGCCCGCTGCGCGCAGTTCGCAGGATCGAGCTTCTGCCGCCTGCTTTTTGCAAGGTTGATACTATGCCGCATGCTGGAGGCGCCCCTTCTCCATCGCACCATTTCTCGACAGTGTGCGCCCGCCCTCGCCCAGATGTGGTTATTCCGAGTGCTGGCGCGAAGCAATCGTAATGGCGCGCGAACGTCTTATTGACGCGACGAGAGAGGTCAATCATCGCCACCTTCAGCGCATCTTCGCCCGCGCCCTCTAGCTGGCCGCATTTGCCGACGCGATCCGAAACGGCATTTCTCTTCGGAAGGTCTGGCGCACGGCGCATTCCGATTCCTTGGGGCGGGTGGCGGTGGCGGAGCGGTTGGGGGGAATGTCAGCAATGTTTCATGCAGGTGATACCTTCGTGGCAATGGTATATAGTCTACTCGCGCTGGAGCTCGGACTACCTTGCACTGCTGACAGTAGGCGTCTCCCCCAGCCCAATCACATGAGGCTGTGCTGCTCCTGGCGCCATGGCCCGCGATGCGCAGCGCCAGAGATTCCGCCATCGCACGTCGATGTATCAGGCCTGGCGCCGCAGAGATTTTCCGACTAATCCGATCACGTGGTTGGGGCTCGGGAGACGCCCGAATGCGGGGCGTTGGTGTCGGATCTCTCGCGGGTGGAATGTCTCGATGCCACTTGCTGTTCTTTTTGGTATGTACCACCGCTCGCGCGTTCTTGTTCAGATCGCGCCCATGGATTGTGTTCTAGGGCCGAGTCGCTTCGCTTTGCTTGTCTGATTCTGGTAGCAAGCTCGCCGCTTCGAGTCTTTCATATCCAATGCCACGGGGGTGGACAGAACCCCCAACAGTGACACGTCGAAAAGTGAATTGTCTGTTTTCGGTTCTCGAGAGGGCGCCGTGGCCGTTATTTTCCAGGCTTGCGCCCGCCAGGTTTGGGCCTCAGGTCGTTTTCACTAAACCACGTTTTACTAAAGGGGGGTCTGTCCATCCCCGAAAGCCGCAGATCCTCTACGGCCGTGAGAGCTCTGGTTGCGGGTGTTTTCGCTTTCTTTTTCGCGGCGCGGCGGAGGGATCTTGTTGCTGCGCTCTTCACGTCCTCGCTTGGCCAGCACCTCGGTGAGCCTTCCCTCTGCTGATCATGGCGCCTGTCGCAGCTCTGTCTCTTGCCTGTCTCTGCGGTGGGTCGTCCCGAGAGCCTGGCCGCGCTGTTCCATCAGGCCTGTCTTGTGCGCTGGTGCGGGCTCCGCAGGTGCCGCACGTGGTAAGGGGGGCTCGTGTTCAAAAAACCCTGGCGCCACCATGCGGGAGCCCAGTGTATCCTTTGCGCCGCGCGCCCATCAGAACCGAGGAGGTCGATGTGCCGCCACAGAACACCATCACGGTCAAGCCGTTTCTTCCTAGTCATCGTTTTGTTCACTGGCAGGTTCCTCCGCCAGAGTAAACAATTCCCCTCTTCATATTGCGCATAGCACGATAATGGGGATCCCTGCTGGGGCCCCAGGTCTGCTACAACACCCGTTGGCGGACAGAGAAACAGCATGAAAGGAAGGAATGGGTGGGAAGGGTCGTATGCCAGATCTGGCGCGAGCGCAGTCAGCTTGATCGTATAATCCTCCACGTTTCGTCGTTCTCTCTCCTCCTCCGTGTCGCCCCCGTCATAATTCCCCTCCGCTTCTCCCTTTCCCTCGCCCCATCCGTTCCCCCCTTTTCCTCTCCGCTTCTCCCCCTCCTTCCTCCCGCCGTCGTCCCATTCCCCATTCTCCCCCCAGTCGTCCATCATCCCTCATCCCCCCCCTCAGGTCCCAGCGCACGCGGGCGGAGGGCGGGGGGGGGATAGAGGAAGGACGCGGAGGAGAGGAAGGAGGAGATGGGGGAGGAGTACGCGGAGGAGTGGCAGGGGGGCGATGGAAGGGGATGAAGAGGAGGAGGAGGAGGAGGCGGAGGAGGAGGAGGAGGAGGAGGAGGAGGAGGAGGAGGAGGAGGGGGCGAGGAAAAGAAGGAGGCGGAGGAGGACGAGGAGCAGGAGGAGGAGGAGAGGAGGAGGAGGAGGAGGAGGAGCGAGGAGGAGGAGGAGGAGAGGCGGAGGAGGTGGAGGGGAAGGGAGGAGGCGGAGGAAAGAGGAAAGGAGGACGAGGAGGAGGAAGGACCACAGGAGGAGGAAGAGGAGCAGTATGAGCGAGGCGAGAGGAGAAGGAGGAGGAGGAGGAGGAGGAGGAGGAGGAGGACAGGAGGACGGTGAGGGGAAGGGGTGCGAGGGGAGGAAAGAAGGAAGAGGAAGATCAGGACTCCAAGGAGGAGGAGGATGAGAAGAAGGAGGAGGAGGAGGAGGAGGAGGAGGAGTAGAGGAGTAGGAGTAGGGAGGAGGAGAGGAGGAGGAGGAGGAGGCGGAGGAGGAGGAGGAGGAGGAGGAGGAGTAGGAGGGAGGAGGAGGAGGAGGAGGAGGAGGAGGAGGAGGAGGAGGAGGGAGGAGGAGGAGGAGGAGGAGGAGGAGGAGGAGGAGGAGGAGGAGGAGGAGGAGGAGGAGGAGGAGGAGGAGAGGAGGAGGAGGAGGAGGAGGAGGAGGAGGAGGAGGAGGAGGAGGAGGAGAGGAGGAGGAGGAGGAGGAGGAGGAGGAGGAGGAGGAGGAGGAGGAGGAGGAGGAGGAGGAGGAGGAGGAGGAGGAGGAGGAGGAGGAGGAGGAGGAGGAGAGAGGGGGGAGGAGGAGGAGGATAATGGGGAGGGGAAAACGGCGAGGAGAGAGGAGGGAGGAGGAGGAGGAGGAGGCGGAGGAGGAGGAGGAGGAGGAGGACGAGGAGGAGGAGGAGGAGGAGGAGGAGGAGGAGGAGGCGGATGAGGAGGAGGAGGAACCGGAAGAGGAACGAGGAAGAGGAGGACGAGAAGGAGGAGAGGAGGAGGAGGAGGAGGAGGAGGACGAGGAGGAGGAGTCGGAGAAGGACGCCATCCCACTTCCCGTCGCTGGCCATCTTTGCTCCGTGAAGTATGCCGCCAGGGCGAGGCCGTCGCCAACGGTGCGACAGGGTTCATGTCGCCGCTGATGCTCCCCGAGGCCGGGCGGGAGGGGGAGGGGGGGGAGGGGGAGTGGGAGGAAGGTGGTGGAGGAGGGAGGCGAACCAGGAAGATGAGAGGAGGAGGAGGATGAGGAGGAGGAGGAGGAGAGGAGGCGGAGGTGACGAGGAGGAGGAGGAGGAGGA